TTCACCTCTGTCCATCGCCTATGAAACACTCGAAACCACAACGCATTCATTACTGGGTGCGATACTTAAGACTTTGAATTGACTACAGTCTGGTGGAAAAAAAAACACACTAAACTAATGGCGCAGTAAAGAAGCATCGACGTGCAATGTTTGTGTGTGAACTAACCACTATATGAATAACCAGCGAGAAACAGCTCTCTCATTTGATATCTGTACCGCCTGAACCATCTGACAGTCAGAGCCTGAAGATGATTGCCTCAAAAACTTTTCAGATCAGCGCAGAATTTACGGAAGACTCTGAAACTAATGCACAGGTAGCGCACCCGGGTTTGTCCGACGTTAGTAAACTGAACGCGGCTTCTTCAGAATTAATGTTGAGAATTTTCCAACAACGGATTCAGCCTAAAACCACAGGGTATTCTCTACGTCAGAGAGGTGTTGGTTTGAGGTAGGAAAATAACAACGATTGAAGTCTTGACAGTGATCAGAAAGGCCTGAATTTTTTATCTCACTTTTTTTTTGGGGGGGGGGGGGGCGCGGGGGCAGAAACCATCACCCTTGGAAACGTCTCAACGATGTGCTAAGGCCCTACATCGAATGCCTTGGTGGGGGGAGGGGGGGCGTTGGAAGACTAACTGTTGGGAGTCTGACCTATGCTCTTGTTCTATACTATTCATATGCATTGCAAGAGCAAAAGCAAAGTGATTCATTAAAAGAACCTCAAATGTTACCAGGGTGCAGTTGGCATCATTTGTCTCGTGTGAGGCTGCCGATATTTTGCTAATACCTCCCTAAAGACACAGTAAAATGTGTCAGCCGCACTTTCCTGCCGGCTCAAGCCACTCACATATCCGGCGCTGCGCAAATCCTCAATTTTACCTACAGTGAAAGACCTGGGGGGGCACCAACCAATACTTGTTTATTTTCCCCACTGCCCTGTGATACGCAGAAACAGAAAGAGAGAGAGCGAGAGCGGTGAACAGACACAACCATCTGAAAGAAAACCCAGCTGAAACGAAAGGAAAGGAATAAGAAAGAATAAATAAGAACATTGAAGCCAGGAACTGGTTTCATTTTTTTTTAATGTATTCGCTTCATTGGAACTCTACAAAACGTTGAAAGTGCAGCGTCAAGCTCTCCAGGACATGAAGGCGCTATATAAATGCAAATTGTTGTTGTTCTGTGTACTTGTGGGCAGAGTAAAACACAGCAGACTCATAGCATAGAATCATAGAATTATTCAGCACAGAAGGAGGCCATTCGGCTCATCTGTGCCGGTTCTGTGAAAAGAGCTTCCAAATCAATCCCATTCCCCTGCGCGCTCACTCTCTCTCTCTCTCTCTATATATATATAGCCCTGCAAACTTGTCCCCCCCCCCGCAAATAATTGTCCAAGCATGCACACGTGTTAATCCTGAAACGTGAAGCATACAGTTCTGAACTCATTAACTGGTATTAAACACTAGTTGTCGGCTTGGCTCAGTCAGTAGGTCTCTCGCCTGCGGGTCAAAAGGTTGTGAGTTCAAGCTCCCCAAACTGGGTTTTTCTCTCTTTCTCTCTCTCTCTCCCTCCCCGCGATGTTCTGGCCAATAACCCACCCAGAATAATCTGCTCATTCACTTCGCGGCTGTTTGTGGGGACGCTGCTGCGCGCAGTTGGCTGCCGCGTTTCGCCCACAAATTATACAGTCAACTCATTTTAACAGTATATGCTGTGAAGCGTTTGGGGACATCTCGAAGACGTGATAAGACGCTGTATCAAACGCGATGATTATTATCATTATTATAATTATTATTATCTAAAAGAGGCCCAAAACGTCACCTCGTGTCGGCCTTTAAGACCAATCTTTAAGATCACGCAGAATCGTGCAATAATTCTTAAACCTCAATCTTTTAAGAACTGTGGAAAACCTGCTTTCAGATAAAGACCGATTAAAAGAAAAGTAATAATAATAATTTAAGAGTTCCGCCCCACCATGCTGCGTGATTTCAAACTCTAAACCAAAATGGTTATCAGATTAATACCAGGTGGAATTTTCTCTCCAACCACCATTTTTTGTGAAATTATCTTCAATTTGTTGCCCTTTCGATAGTGAATCTAAACATGATGTTTACGCTGGAATTACCAATATTTTCAGTATGACTCCACATTACTAAACCCAGGCGTAGAAATTTCACCCGGGTCTAGATTTACCCTATTCACACAGTAGTATTTCAGTGCTTCCAGAAATCTGTCAGATTCTTAAATGCAGTGTTCATTTTGAAAGCGCTTTTCTGCAAATTTCTTTTGAGAACTCCAGAGAGAGAGAGAGAGAGAAAAAAAACAGCTTCAAAGGTCGTGAGTAAATTGTCGTGCGCAATTAATTGGCTGCCACGTTTCGCCCACAAAAATATACAGTCAATTCACTTTACGGCACATTGTGTGAAGCACTTTTGAGACGTCTCAACGACGTGATAAGGCGCTATCTAACAAATGCAAGGATTATTATATTACATTGACAAAACAAATCAGCATCTGCAAGGCAAACTAACTTTCCAAATCCTTCGCTAGTTTTTTTTTAAAAATGTATAAACATTAAACGAACGCAGAGTTCCTCGGAATTGCGTGTCGGGCTGGGAATCCCATTTATAAAAAGAAACCATTTGAACGCCTCGGTTCGGAAAATCCATCAGGAATATCAGTGCGATTTTGGCAGGTGCTTCCACTTTCTCTGGACTTCCATGTCTGTTCCTCTACTTATAAAGTCAATGCCAGTAATTTTCTTTGCTTAAAATGTTCGATTTCTCCCTCTGCACATCCCCCAGCTACCAAGGTCAGTCCCCAATGACATTCCCCCACGCACAGCGAAGGCTGCATTAACTCTACCTTCCGACCACCGCAGAATTATTCGGCAAATAACCTAGGGGTAGACCTTCCTCGCCTTAAAGAGTGCTTCACATTCGACTTGCTCCTTGCTATATCCAGGCTCGAACCTTGGCAGCTGGAGGCTACCAATGCTTAAACGATTATTGCAGCAATCAGTGAACCCTGTAAGTAATTTCTTTTTTTTTTATCGCATCCAGACATTCGGAAATTTTTTTTTACTCCCGGAATACTGTACACATAAAAATACTGGATCTGAATTGCTCCGTTAACACTTTGCACCCCAAGCATCGGACAATCAACTTGACCGTTGCACAAATCACTCAAAAATAAGCCCTTTTATTTACTCTTCAGAATACAAAACACATCCTTGACCTCCCCCCCCCAACCACCATCTCCCCCCCCCAACCACCACCCCTCATACTCTACCCCCACAATATCCTATTAGGCTCCACAGGCTCCCCATCCCAAAGAGGATTAAGTTCGAGATCCTCGTCCTCGCTTTAAAATCCCTCCCCGGTCTTGCCCCACCCTCCCTCCGCGACTTATTTAAACGCTGTCGACCCGCCCGCTCCCTCCGCTCGACGGGCACTGGCCTGCTTCGCGTCCCCGCCCCACCCAGCCCCGCCCCACATCGGCGGTCAGGCTTTCAGCCTACACTGCCCCCGCTCTCTGAAACCCCAGATCACTTCAACCCCTCCCCTCGCCACCTTCAAGGTCCATCTCAAGACCTTCCTCTTTGACCTTGGTTGCGGTCATCTCACAACACGAAAGGCACTGTGTAAATGCAAGTTGTTGTTGTTGGTCGCTGTTCCATTTCATGTCACTCAAAATATGACCGGCTATTTACTGGCCTGAATATTTAAATGCTCCTTCCCTCCACCGCCCACCACCCCCCCCTCGCCATATCCCATTTCCAAAGTTATCTATCTGTCTCGTTAATTTAATCAATTCACATTCAACCAGGCATGACGTCTGTACTTCAATAGATTATCAGGAAAAGAGTAGGGGGGCTATGGAGGATGAGATGAGGGAGGGGGGGGAGAAGATTTGTTGATGGTTAATTATTTTGTTGGATTTGAAAGGTGGGGGCAATGTAAGTGCAGCAAAGAGAAGAGGCACTGGGGCAACAAATTGGAAAAATGACCCCTTATATAAGTCAGGAAAAGCGAAGTTGGCCTAAAAAGTGATTCGGGGGGGAAGGGGGGGGGAAATGTTGATAAATTTATTCATGATCCACAACGCATATGGGAGTGAGGGAGCAATAGAATATTTGGCCTTTAAAATCCCAACCTTCACCCCTCCCAAAAAAAGGGGGAGTGTGGGGGGGGGGGGGCGCGGGAAGGGAGACAAACTTCAAATAACAAACGTTTCGTCGTTTTGCCGAGGCTTTCGAAGATCTGAACTGAAATCTTTCTTTATCAAACGCCTTTCCTTGTTGCCCGCATTTCTCCTCCGCCCCCAAGGCGGGGGGAAAAAAAACAGTTTGTGGGGCGATGGTGGGGGAGTTTTTGTTTTGGATAGACGTTGGGGGTTGGGGGTGGGGGGGGGAAGGGGGGGAACTATCACTGATAGACAGACACACTTCCAAAGCAGTGGTGGGGACAGGGGAGGAGATTAGGAAACTGACAGGATGGGGGTAACTTATAGTAGGAAAGATTGCACAGTGGCCAGATAGCTGAGAGTGTGTGAGCCAGACACATTTTTTCCCCCCCTGCTTATCCAGGGTGACTTAAAAAGTCGTGATAACCATTACAAATGCTTAATACGTCTTAAACAAACGATGAGATTTATTTGTATATTTTTACTGGTCGATAATAGGGTAAAAAGACAACATTTTGGTCAGCCTATATTTAACCGGAACATTCATCCCTTTGCTTTTGGTGAAAGCTTCTGATTCCTATATTTTTTTCTGTTTTATTTTATTGGCTCTTTCTTGGCCCATATTTTCGTGTTTGGTTGAGGTTTACCTTCAAAACACTGCAGGTGATTAAAATCCTCTCTCTCTCCATCTCAACACCAAACACAAAAGGTAACTTTCTTCTGCCTGTCTATCGATCTATCTCTCAAAAAGAAACACACCTAAACATAATCACACACACATGTACGTCTTAAAGTCAACGTAAAGTCTTACTTACCACTGGGGAAGAAATGCGACAACCAGGACAGTCACAGATTGGAGGATGTACCTGCAAAACTCCTTTGGACATGAGGGTCTTCAAACTTTTGCCTGGGGGTGTGGGATTTAAAAGACAACACCCAAACATTTTATTTGGTTTGATAAGAAAAAAAAGATACCCAAAAGCAGCCCTGGGATGGAGCTATTACGCAAAATATGTGGTGTGTGTGTGTATATATATATATATAGATATGTGTGTGTGTTTAAATAGTTTTAAGGCCATTTTTTCCTCTCACTTGTCAAATTTCACCCAACAACACAACCCAATTACAATCACGTTATGTGGGTGGATGGGAGAGAGAGAGAGAGAAGGTGGTGGTGGGTGGGGGGAGTGAGAGACAGGAGATGGGAGAGAAAGAGAGTGGGGTAAAGAGATTGAGAGAAGTGTGTGGGTGGAAAGAGTGGGGGGAAAGAGAGAGAGAGAGAGGGAGAAGGTTAAAAAAAAATCAGGAATTAAGACTTCTTTGGCTCAGTTTTCATTCTCTCTCTCCCTCTCTCTCTCACATACACACACAGGGGGCAGGGATGTATGGGGGTGGTGGGGGGGTGAACGATTGCAATTGCAGCCAAGGGAGGTAATTCAAGCCTGAGGGGGGGGGGGTAAGGATGCAAAAATATTCTGGTGGTAACAATGGCATTGAGTTCAATGTTTAAAGAGACAGACACACACATCTCTCCCCCCTCTCTCTCTGTGTATAGCAGCTGCAAACTTACCCCCCCAACCCCACATACACCCCCTATAACACTCACTCACCACCTCTCTCTCCCCCCCCCACACACACACACAGCCACTGATACACGTTTCAGGGCTAAATGTCATTTCCAATGGGAGAGATGATCAACCAATTCAAGACACTTTCCTGACTCCAAACTCTGTGGTGGGTCCTTTGCAAATGGGCTTAAAGTCGCCCCTCATTGAGTCTCTTCCCAACTTTTCTTTTTTTTTAATTATTATATATAATATTAAGAAAAAGAGAGAGAGAGAGAAAAGGGAGAGGGAGAGAGAGAGAGAGGAAAAAAATCTGTCACAGAACACACAAAAGATGTGGCTTTATTGCTCTCTCTCTCTCTTTCTTTCTCTTTCTCCTTCTCTCTCTCTCTCTCCCCCCCACCAGAAGAATTACTAACGCAGTTCTTTCCCCACTCACACTCCCCACCAGATTTATCATTCTTAATCGATCCCCCCCCCCAAAAAAAAACACCCACCCAGCCTTGTTGGTGATTAATTATTATTAAAATTATTATTATTATTCAGTGAAAAAGATACCAACTCACTCAGTCAGTCACTCAGTCAGTCCACAATCTGATCAGGTTCTGCACTTCCCTCTATACACACACACACACACCACTTCCTGGCTTTAAGCTTTAATTGAAAGCTTCATAGCAAATGCACCCCCCCACCCCCCCCCACACACACTTACACACACCCTCACACACACATCCCCACCCTCACACACACACACTCCTCCCCACCCCACTTCACATACATACACACCCACACACACACACACAGACTCCCCCTTACACACACCTTTCACACACATACACACTCCCCCCTCCCCTTCACACACAGACCCCCCTCCCCACTCACACACACACACACACCAGCACACACACACACACACACCCCAACACACACACACACACACACCCCAACACACACCCCAACACACAGATTCACACACACACCCCAACACACACACACCAGAACACACACACACTCACCCCAACACACACCCTCCAACACACACACACCCCAACACACACACACACCCACACTCACCCCAACACACACACACACACACCAGAACACACACACACTCACCCCAACACACACCCCCCAACACACACCCCCCCCAACACACACACCCAGTACACGCACACTCGCCCCAGTACACGCACACACCCCAACACACACACACACACACTCCCCACACACACACACTCCCCCCCCCACACACTCCCCCCCCACACACACTCCCCCCCCCCCCCACACACACACAGAGTTCATTTCATTGCTAATCAGTCCGACAGGAATCAATCACCTGAGTTACACGCGACGTCCCCTCCTCTGACCACACTTTTCTCATCACTTGCTCCAACTTCGACTCACAGATAAACCAACAGGAAAAACACACACAATCTCTCTCTCTCTCTCTCTCACACTCACTCACTTCTTTTCTTCTCCCCAATCCCTTTCACACCACATCCCTAATCACAGGCGAGCGAGCATCCTGCCTATCGATCCATCCATCAATCAATCAATCAATCAATACTATACCCTCCCCTTAAGAATTCGCCTGAAGTCATACCACAGATATAAGGCAAATTCCATCCCAATTCCTGGTTTGTACGCTCTCTCCTCAACTTTATTATCATTATTATGTATTATTATTTATTATTACAACCTCACAAGCAATAAACACCACGTTATATTAAGGGAAAAAACACACACACACACACACACACCCAACACGTTATTTCCAATAAAGGGTAAGTTTCACCCCCAGACAACGAATAGCCCAAACACTCCTTCTCCCTCTCACCTCCTCCCCCACTCCCCCGACCCCCAATAATAATCATCATAATAATAAATCACTTGGGATTATTTTCTCCCCCCCCCCACCCCCCCATTTCATTCACCCCACAGACCAAAACGAATAAACAAACCACCTTTCCTTGGGAATTGTCACAGTGTAAATCTGTCTCTCTCTCTTTTTCTCTCTTTCTCCCCCCACAGATATTCACAACTTTTACAGACGCACAACTTTCTCAAGAAGCGATGGGGGGGTAAGGGAGGGGGGTAAAGGGGGTAAAGGAGGGATGGGGGGGTGGTAAGGGAGGGAGGTAAAGGGATAAGGGTTCACTTCGCCCCGAATAGCGACCCTTTCCTCCTCACTTTTATAAGAGGTGAAATATTACCTCCATCTCCTTTCTTTCTTTCTCTCTCTTCTGTCTCTCTCTCTCTTCTGTCTCTCTCTCTCTCTCTCTCTGTAACCCCTGCTCTTTTCTCTCTCTCTCCCCCCCCCCCTTCTTTCTCTCTCTCTCTCTCTCTAAACCCTTGTTTTATTCGCTTTCTCTCTCTCTCTCTCTATAAACTCTGCTCTCACTCTCTCTTCTCTGTGTCTCAAACCCTCGTTTTATTCACTCACTCTCTCTCTCTCTCTGTCTAAAAACCTTCACTCACTTTCTCTGTCGCTTCTCCCCCCTCTCCCTCTGTGTGTGTGTACCCTTCTCTCTCTCACTCCCTCCCTCTTTCTCTCTCCCCTCGTTTCGTTCACTCACTCCATCTCTTCTCCCTCTGTGTGTGTGTACCCTTCTCTTTCTCCCTCCCTCCCTCTCCCCTCGTTTCATTCACCCACTCACCCACTCCCTATCTCTTCTCCCTCCGTATGTGTCAGTCCCTCTGTGTGTGTGTGTGTGTGTCCTTCTCTCTCTCCCCTCCACTCACTCCCTCCCTCACTCCATCTCCTCCCTCCGTCCGTGTCAGTCCCTCTCTCTCTCTCTGTGTGTGTGTGTGTGTCCTTCTCTCTCTCCCCTCCACTCCCTCCCTCACTCCATCTCCTCCCTCCGTCTCTGTCAGTCCCTCTGTGTGTGTGTGTGTGTGTGTGTGTGTCCTTCTCTCTCCCCCCTCCACTCCCTCCCTCACTCCATCTCCTCCCTCCGTCCGTGTCAGTCCCTCTGTGTGTGTGTGTGTGTGTGTGTGTGTGTGTGTGTCCCCTCTCTCCCCCCCCACACCCCCCCCAAAAGCCAAACCCCCTCTACACCAACACCCCAAACCCCCCCCGTCCCGTCCCCACCCCCCGTCCCCCCCCAACCCCCCGTACCCCCCAATCTCACCCTTGTGCCTGATGCTGCGCTTCCAGTCTTTGGCTGTTTCGCGGCCGCTCACGAACTGGAACTCGTTGGGTGTCAACCACTCTCCGCTGTGGCGGATGGACGGCCCTTTGCTGCCTTGGCACAGTTTGTTGATGTAGAGCAGAGCTTTGTTTTCGCCGCACTCCACCTCCATACAGGGCTCCCCCCGGTCGAAGACGGGCTGGAAGTCGGGGATGGAGGAGAAGCGCTCCAGCATGAGGTCCTCCGGGTGAGGAGGAGGAGGAGGAGGAGGAGGAGGATGGGGATGGGGAGGATGGGGAGGAGGAGGATGGTGAGGGTGAGGATGGTGAGGAGGGTGAGGGTGGCCCAGGAAGGCGGCACGAGGGTGATGGGCGAAGAGGTGCCCGTAAGGCGCGGGGTGGGGGTGATGGGGGTGGTGGTGGGGGTGGTGGGGTGGGGGTGGTGGGGGGTGGGGGGTCACCACCGGCAGAGCCGCCGCGTTCAGGGGGGGCAGGTACTCGGGCAGACTGTCCAACCCTCTGCCCAACCCCAACCCCAACCCCATCCCCAACCCCATCCCCATCCCCACCACCACCATCTCCCCGTCCAGTCGCTCCTTCTTGATCGCCGGCATCCTCATGGGCAGACCCTTATCTGTGCACAACGCACCGGCCAGAACTTCTCCTCCTCCTCCTCCTCTTCCTCCTCTTCTTCTTCTTCTTCTCCTCCTCCTCCTCCTCTCCTCCTCCTCCTCTAGTTTGTCAGTCAACAGAGGCAGCAGTGCTGGTGCTGGTGGTGGTGGTGGTGGCAGTGGTGGTGGTGGCAATGGTAGAGGTAGACACAGAGGCTCAGGAGGTCGCTCGGTGTGGCTTTTGCTGAAGAAACTGTTCAGTCGGAACCAAAGCCGAGAGCCCTGACAGCCCCAACCCTCCACCAAACACGACTTGCTCCTCTGACTTAAATCCAACACCTCGACCTCTCCCCCCCCCCCCACCACCCCACCCCCCCTCATCATCATCCTCTGGCTCTCCCTACCTGACATCTCGCTAAGGTATCTGCTGCTGCTGTGTACATCGTGTTAGTCAATGCTTATCGATCTGCTATCGACCACCTCTCTCTCTCTCTCTCTCCTCCACACCCCCCCCCCTCCACCCCACAACACCACCACCACCCAACACCCACCCACCCCCCACCTCCTCTCTCTCTCTCTATATCTCTCTATCTCAACCTTCTCTCTCTCTCTCTCTCTCTCTCCCCTCTCTCTCTTCTACTGGAAGATTTCTACTGATATCCCACTCCCCCCCTTTTCTCTGTGTCTCTCTTTCTCTCTCTCTCTCTCTCTCTTTATATATATATATATTGCTACTTATTTCCGGGCTTTATCTCCCCCCCACCACCACCTCCAACTCAAAAAACACACACACACACACACACACACTGGCGAGAGGTTTGAAATGGATTTCAAAAGCACACACACACATTGATAGAAATAAAAGTTTCTCTCTCTCATTCACTCTCTGTGTCTCTCTCTCTCTCACACACACACACACACACAAACACTCACCGTCTCTCTCTCTCTCTCTCTCTCTCTGTCTCTCCTTTAAGTGAAGCTTTTTCTCTTTCTCTCTCTCTCTCTCTCTCTCTCCCCCCCAAAAAAAAACTACTACAGAGGGTTAAATGAACTCCACAGCTGACTGTCACACCTCAAGACAGACAGACTCCTGCTAAAGTACTGATTAAAAGACTTTTCTCTCTCTCTCTCTCTCTCTCCTCCCTCCCTCCCCTCCCTCCCTCCTTCCTTCTCCCTCTCCTCCTCCCCCCACACCCCCCCCACCACCAGAAAAAAAAAGAAAACTTTTTCTATAAAATAAATAAATTTCCATCAAATATCATTAAAACAACAGATACACACAGAGAGAGAGAGAGAGAGACGAGACAACCTCCCCTTATATTTCTAAACAGAGGCATATATTTCTATTTCTCTCTCTCTTTTTGCTGGGCAGTTTTTTTTTGGGTGGGTGGGGGGTGGGGGGGAGATGCACAAAAATATATTGGGAAGGGGGGGGGGGGGGGAGGAAAGGAAGTTATTGCCTCTGCAAAGGACTGCTTTTCGTACGTTTTATTCTCATTTTTTTTTCTCTCTCTTTTTTTTTAACCCCCCCCCCCCCCCACATTTTTTTTCTGGGAGTCACGCTTTGGTTGAGACACAGACGAAACATGATTTGCCCTCTATAGCTGTTGGTAACTTGGCCCATTTAAACATCACAAGCTGTCAGTCCGGAGCAGAAAGAAAAAAGGGGAATTTTCGACTGTCGACACCCTTTAATCGTACGATTGCAGCTTCTTATATTATTATTATTATTATTATTATAGAGGGAGAGAGGGTGTGTGATGGAGTTAGTGAGTGAGTGAGTGAGTGAGTGTGATACAGGGAGAGAGTGGATTCTTCTTCTTAATGTTGTTGCTCATGATAATTGGTGATATTATAATAATAATAATAATAATAATAATAATAATAATAATAGTCGTCCTGCGGGATATGCCTCGAAGCGCTTCCCGGGATTACGCTGTGGAAAGTGGATGGATCGGTTGACCGCATATATCGCGCACAGCAGCGTTAAACCCCCCCACCTCTTCCCCCCCCCACGCACACACAAACACGCACACACACACCACCACCTTCCACCCCCTCCCCCCCATCCCCACCCACCACCACCACCACACACACAAACAGTCGCGGATTGAAGTGACCAACTTATTATTTTATTCATTCGATTTTTATTTTTTTATTTTTTTGAGGGGGGGGGGTGTGGCGGAGGGATTATTACCCTCGGAAAAGCGATCGTTCCTACTTACTTACTGCTGAGTAAACGGAGGCGTGTGCGCGGAGTAAGGAAACTCGTCTAATGCATCGCCCTAACCCAGGAATCGAACCCAGGTCCTCTCCAACACGTTAAAGGTCACTTTTTTTCTGTTCCGTTCAATCACCAAATTAAACTGCTGGACTTCCTCTCTCTCTCCCTCTGCGCCTCCCACCCCTCCCCGACCCTCCCGATAAAATGCTGTGAAATCAGGATGCAATGAACCAATAACGCTCAAGAATTGTGTATTTTTCTATATTAAAAAAAAGCGCACATATAAAAACATGTGTTTTTTTTCTGCAACAGTTTCATTCGGAAACCCTGTAAATAATCTTTTTTTTTTTGGTACGGTATGACTGAACCGAAACAGCTAATGTTGGGGGTGAGGGGTGGGTTGGGGGGGGGGGGAATACAGTTATGTTATGTCTGCGAATCAATTCTATCTACTTCCCACTTGCATCCTATGTAACACCACCGTCTGTCCCGCTGCCCAGACCACACAGGCAGACGAATGACGCTAAATTGCCCACACGAGAGGCAGAGTGTTCCGTTACCACCAGAAACACCTCCTTTTCAGACTTCCAAGAAGTCATCAAACACCCCCAAAGTGACGGCCGGATATCTGGCTCTCAGGCTACCAGGAACAAATGGCTTGGGGAACGGCACATTTTTAATAATAATAATAATAATCTTTGCATTGGACGCGTCTTCAAGACGTCTCAAAAGCACTTCACGAAATATACTGTGAAGTGTAGTGACTGCGTATTTTGCGGGCGAAACCAATTGCGCACGGCAGCGTCCCCCGCGAACGGCCGCGGATTTAACCGACCAATTTATTATGTTTTCGTATTCTTACTTTTGGAGCCAAATGGGTGTCTGAGCGGCTC